CGATGGAATTTTTAATTTGTTTCTGGAAATGAAATAATTTGCTTCTAGTCGTCTATAACAATAAATAAATCCTTTGCGCCGTCTAGTTTTGCTATTATCGATGTAAGAAAATATCTAAACTTACACTAAAAGTAGCAAAACTCGACGATAAAAATGCTTAAAAAGGGTTTCAGAAGCGGCGCAAGGCGTGGGCGACGTGGGCCACCGTCTACGGCGTCGCGGCCTGAAGGTACTCGCGCCTCAAAAGTTTAATGCAGCTGTCTTTAACTTATGAAAAATATTTATTCTCACATCTGACCTACCTATATGTAAGCAAAAATTATATAAAAGAATGTTAACTTTCAAACACTCTCTATTTTAACTTTAATATAAAAAACAACGAATAACGAATTATGCTATTGCGTTCAACTAAACGAATATATTTCATATCCATTCTAGGTAGTGAGAAGACTGCAAAAAAATTAAATCTACCAATCATAGTTCATATTTTAGACACCCAACCATTATTATTTTAACTCTGTCAAACTAATTGCCATTATATTTTTTGGTTATTAAGATTAAATATATATTAAAATGAAAGTTATTTTTGTGTAGAAACGATAAATAATATAATTTTTAGTATTATTTGGTTAACATTTTGAAAATTTTTATCAATATTTATGAAACTAATTTAATTAAGAGTATTAAAACTAAAATCACAAAAGTGGCCGTGGAGGTGTGAGCAGAGCATTTGCTTTTCACGTGAATAGCTCGGGTTTGAATTCGTGCTCGAGACAATTTTTTTTAAGTTTATTTTAATTTATAAATTAATAAAATTCATTAATTATTTTAAAATTAATTATTTTGGCTTAACAACCTAAAATAATTTTTTAAATTTGTAGATTTTTGTTAGTGGGTCGTAGAAAAAATATACTGTACGACTCAAGTTGATTGTCCATATCTACTCTTGTTGCACAAACTACAATTTTTACTAAGTAGGTATGCTACATTGGTAAAATCCTGTAAATGGCCATATATTCGCTTATTTTGTTTTCTGTTTGTATAAACAGATTTTGATGTGAGAATCCATTGATTGAAAGGAATAAATATTAAATAAAAAGTAAACCGGTCCATTGAACTAAAATAATTAAAAAAAAAATGGTTTTATGGTTAGAACCTTTAAAAGTTTTGCTCGTTAAAGAGAAATATTTAAACTATTACGCACATATAGTGTGTCAATTCAAAACTGCTTTTTGGCAATCGTTCTATGCAAGAATATTAAAAATAAACTACTTTATTTATAAAACAATATAAATATATTAAAAACTAAAAATCGAATTATTATATTTAACAAAACGTTCCGATTTGGTTTACTTTTTTTTATTCTCCTCTAATATTCGATTCTAGAGGTGAAAAGTAAATCATTTAAAAGGTGCGTCTTTTGCGTTTTTGTTTGCGCTCTCTTTCTTTACGTTTCGCTTTTTTTTTTCTTTTCTATTTCTTTCCTAAGACGTCCCCCTTTATATGATTTTTGACTTATTTTTGTATTTGTTTTTAAAAGCATCACCTTTAAAATTATTTAAAGTGGACTGTTCTCGAGTGGGTAAGAGTAGTGATTTCAAACCTTACGAATTTTATGAAGATTTACAAATAATGATCCTAAATTTACCTGATTTCAATAAAGGTGTAAAACAGCTGCTCCAATACATAATAGAAAATAAGTTGAAAGAAATGTATCCAAATATTTATATTGTTATTCAAATTTTGTTAACAGTACCAGTAAGTACAACTGCTGAAAGGAGCTTTTCAAAATTAAAACTAATAAAAAATTAAGAAGTACAATGGGCCAGCAAAGACTTTAGCATTGTCAATTTTATCTATTGAAGCAGATATATAATCTGGATTATGGTACAAGAGTTCAGTAAAGCTAAAAGCAGGAAATTTATGTTTCTGTAATTCTTTACTGCTAGTAATAATTACTTAAAAATATTAGTTAAAGTCTAAGAGTTGTTAGCATTTTTTTTATACAAGTTTCAATGTTATTTATCTATATAAAATACGTCTTCTTGCGCCTCCAGAGGTCCTTGCAAAAATATATCTTGCCCACATAAAATTTAGGTCTTGCTCCGCCACTGAAGAGTTTTTTTATTGTTATAGACGTCTAGAAGTAAATTATTTTATTTTCAGCTAAGACGAAAAACTCCATCGATGTGAAACGTTATTTTGAATTTGACAGGTTAAATGACAGCTCCCACCACCGGGACAAAGTACCTACATGTTATTCACTGTCTCCCCCTTTCCATGTAACTAACTACAAAACACGACATGCCACTTTAAATATTTTTTTTGACGTATGTGTTCTCATCTAGTTTTCTATAAAATGTGTTTCTAATAGATTTACAATAAAGATAAGACTTTTTAACCTTTAATTTTACTAGATATTAAATAATATTTTTTTAGTCTTGTACAAGAATTTATTCTTCCTATCTTCATCCTTTATATCCGTCTTCAACTTATTTGGAATAATAATTTAAAATCTGTAAAATATAGATACTTACCTCATTTGTAACGATTCCATCATTTTAATTTTTGTTAGTTTCAATTAAAAAAGGAACATTATCATTTTTTGAAATTAAAATGTTTTCATTTTTACCAATATTGTTACCTACATTAACATTGCCAATATTGTTTTCAACATCAATATTATTTTAAAACAAACATGACAAACATAATAAATAAAAAAAAATCATCTTCAATGAAAATTCTTTATAATTTGTTATTAATCGATATAAATAATACATTTTCTTTACATTGTCACTTACGTCTTGAAGACTTTATGACGTAAAATTGACAGGCTGTAATAATGTATATGCTTTTTCAGAGCATCCAATCTCGTATACAAAATCGAAAATATCCAAATTTGATATTGATTCTAAACTATTCAAATACAGAGTCACTTTATTATCTGGTAAATTAATTAATTCTGAAGTAGGAACAAGCCATTCATCTTTCTATGACAATTTTTTATTTTTATTTTCATTCAAAATAGTTCATAAAATAAAAAATTGCTATATTGCTAAATGTTACTCTAAAATATTTTTATTCAACTTTTTTATCATTGGTTAACACAAGTAGGTACTGTCACTAAAATGTGTATCAATTTTCACCAAAACTAATGAAAACGATTATTATGAATTCTGGTATTTAACACCCCTGGTAAACACCCTATATCATAAATTGTTATAGATACAAGAATACGTTGTTTATACAGGGTGAGTCAGGAGGAGCGCACCAAGCTCTAGGAGTATATTATACACGTGAAAATAATGTAAAAAAACTCTGTTAAAAAAATCAATTTTTATAATAAACAAATATAAAAAACAACAAATGTACAATAGGTACGGAATTGACAAATGACTTATCTGAGAGATAATTTCATTGCCTACAAAAATGACTTGAATGTTTATTGTCGTATCTCCAATAGTTTAAAAGTTATATCAACTTAAGTCAACAAATGGGTCAGCTGCTGCAACTTTGATAGTACATATATTTTGAAAGTTTAATAAAAAATGGAATAAATTTTTTTCCGTAATTTTAATGCACATGCAAGTCGTTTTTGGAATTTTTATTTCTTTCAGGAAAAAAATAAACCAAAGTTGGGAATTTGTTTATAACAAATTGTTAACTTAATAAACAATGGAATTAATAATAAAATTTTTTTTTGCTGTCACTTTGTAGAGGACTATCAATTATGATTAAAAAAAAACACATTTCTTAACTAATAATTTAAACAATAGATATATTAAAAAAACGATTATAAACAATTACAAGTTATTATTAAGAAAAAAAATTTTTTTTTTAAATCATAATTGGCAATTGTCTAGAAAGTTGTAAAAAAAAAAATTTGAAAAAAATTGAAATACTCCATTTGTTTATAAACAATTTATAAACAAATGGCGGATTTTTTTTTTTTTTTTATTAATAAATGTCGTTTCTTAACATTAAAACTTTTAAATAAATAAATATAAATTTTTTTTTATAGCACCACTGTGACTTTTCAGTTTTTGTAAACTTTAAAAAATTATTATAAACAAAGTATTAACATTTTTTAAACTTTTATGAAGCTATTTTGTTTTATATGTATATAAAAAGAGCTCCATGAAGCAAAAAAATTTAAATTATAAATAATGGAGTTATAGTTCCGGGAGTCGGAACTTATTTATAGCAAATCTCTTCCTCTTTAAGGATCTTTTTTGAAAAATCCAAAAATATTTATAGTTTACAAACTATAGGCGAAAAACCAAACACCATGTTTTTGAGGTGTTTAATTGTTTATAACTTTTGCAATTTTTTATGCACTGCAAAATTTTTCTTCACACATTGATCTAGATATTATTCCGAATCGAATGAGCTATTGAATGTAATTTTCGTAATAGTATGTCCCAAAAACACGCTTTTGAACTAACAATTGTTATGTAATATGATACAACTCGAATAAAATATTTTTGATTATTTTAGTTATTTTGTTCGAATTTGACCGGTTAATTACGTAGCGGTCAATTAACCATCTATAATACTATTTATAACAGTATTGGACGATGTTACTAAAAAACACAGGGCGAAGAACACCAAATCTATAGACAACTGTAGGATTCAGAAATTTAAAACCATTAGAATAGATGGTATACTGTATGCAGAAGACCTAGTGCTCATATCGGATATTAGTAATAAAATGCAAAAACAACTCAATACATGGGTCGAAGAAACTGAACATTGGAGGTCAGTGTAGAAAAAAGTACTCCAAAATCCAAAGACACTATATTTAGGAGCAGACTAAATAAAAGGTGACCTACCCAACTTTGGAAGAGAATTGAAAGGGTTGATATGCTGACTTAGCTACAGAAGGGGGTAAAATATATCTTTTAGGTCGCAGTGTATTATTACCCATCATAACATTCCTTTGGCTGAATCAGCATCTTGGGTTCGATTATAAAATTAGCTCAATACTTAGCAAAACTTACCTATACAGGATCGGGGTCCTTCTCCAAACGGCAAATACGCATAAGGCGGTATTTTTTTCTTATTGTCTTTATTAAATCGTTCAGGATCGAATACGTTGGGTTCAGGGAAATATTCTGGATCATTGTGAAGTCCATGAATTGATATCACCACTTCTGTGCCGGGTTCAATAACAACATCGCTGCCAGGAATTGGATACGCTTTGTTGCATTCTCTTGTAAGGACTGAAGCTGTGGAATTCTTACGTAAGCTTTCTAAAACAACATTTTTAATTTACATCTATGCATAAATACAACTTATGAAAAACAACTGGCTGCCATAAAAATGGAACAGTTTAGTGACTGTTTTTACTTTCCTATCTGTATACAGATAAGGAAAGTATAGAAATCATGATTTTTCCTACGACCACTTAGGAAAGTGACACATATCACACTATACAGTCCTATGGAAAGTACCCTATATCACACGCGTATAAATAAGAATTTACTTTCCACCCATGTACGAATATGTTACTTTCCGTAGTAGCTGTCACAAAATGTCAAACACCTAATTTCTATTTTGATCTATGTAATGTCCATATTAATACTAAAATCGATATGATTGTAAAATTATTGAAATTGTTGTAAATTAGATCCTAGATATTTATCTTTAACAATTATTATTAAAATAATGTTTGCTCTTTATTCTGGTTAAATACATAACCGATTAGATCATTCAATTGACAGAAGGGCTATTAGCTCAGGTGGTTAGAACATCGAACTTATCAACTTTGTCATTTTAGACCGCGTTCAAATCCTGGCAGGGCAGAAATTTTTTTTTTATTTTTTTTTGTTTTTTAGAAAATATGAAAATTAAATAAATACGATTATTGTTGATGATTTTTTTAAATACATTTTAATTATTATAGTAGGGGAAATGTGCCTAATATCGTACATCTTCCTAATATCGCACACCATACTATTTTCTACGTCATTGCTATAAACTACCTGCAGGCGGCTAAACAAGTTCTGCAGGCTGATTTGTTAGTGTAGAGTAAGAATTAAGAGTGATAACAACGAGTATGTTAGCTCTGTGAATTATTGGAATATTTTACGCGCGAAAAGTTTTTTTGGGGTTATCTTCAACATTATATGTTACTAGCAACGGTAAGTTTTTTTATAATTGAACTGTTCCAGAGACATTATTGAATGTTGTAGTTTTAATAGTTATAATTTGATTTTTAATTGAGTTCGTTGTTTCGACAATATTAAAAAAATATTTTTGGTCTAAAGTTTTCCTAATATCGCACTATTCCTAATGTCATAATATCGCACTGTGCGATATTAGGAATACTATAGTTTGTAGATTTGTAAGGGGGATATCTACGCCTGTCGTTACTTCGACCTAACATATATTTTGTGAAAAATAGTTTGGTGTAGATTAAAGCATAACAGAAATTTTTAATTACAGATGCCGCCTAAAAAAAGGAAACAGTGGTCGACAGAAAGCATGAAACGAGCAATATTAACTGTTAGAGCCAAATAAATGGGCCTGTTACGTGCATCGAAACATTTTAGTGTACCTAATTCAACATTAAAAGACAAAGTGAACAGTGCTGAAGAGGATGGCATTAAGTTAGTATCTATAAAGCTTGGTAGAAAACCTACACTCGATATAGAGTTAGAAGAAGCATTAGTAACGTACATGGGCGTCGTTTAGGGGGGGCAAGGGGGGGCAGTTGCACCCCCCTGGCTTTTACGATTTTGCAACGCGTAATTTATTTATTTATTATTACATTACTCAACAGGTCAAGACCCAATTACAGAGTAAGAGTACAAGAATATATAAATGCAATTAATTTAGAAATAATATACTAATTCATTAAACAGCAGGTGATAAAAAGCTAAGAGAATTATTTTTCTAGCAATTCATGAATATATGCAAAACTAAAGATTTTAGACAACATTATTATAGAAATAACACCTAATATTATGGCTGCATGTCACGATACTAAATTAAGTACTAAAATTTAGCCCTAAATTAAGTTATTTAGTACTAAATTTAGAACTAAAAATATTTTTTTCCTTTTGTAACGATACCAATTTTTAGTACTAAATTAAGTATAAGCGCATGCGAATTGACGTATTATTACGTGAAATTAATACCTAAATGCCACGAATTACGGAAAACAATCTCATAGAAATCTAACACAGTTGACGAATATAATAGATTGAATATATTTATTCCATATCCATATCTTACACCAGTGTTTCACAAACTTTTTTGGCGGAATCCTTTTGAAAAGCGAAATGTGTGACGGAACCCTAAAATAGATTTTTTTGGTTTAGAACTCCGGAGCATTTATAAAGAAAGGTCCTCAAGTAAAATCAGATCCTTTCTTACTGAAATCTAAAAAAAAATTCTTAAACCAGGTGTCCTCCCTTTTGTGACGAACTTACTCACAGCACACTCTGAGAAATACTGTCTTACACGAACCTGTATACATTTTAATTTTTTTTTAAAGTAGGTAAAAACAGAACAAAAAGCAAGCGTAGTTGCTGTGTTGTAAATTGTAAAAATACTAGCAGAAAAAACGGTGTAAATTATATAAATTGTCAGTAGCAAAATGGAAATTAAATCAAAAAAATAAATGGATAGTACAATAAGAAGAAAAAGACATTTATTTTTGTAATAATAACAGTAATACTGGAAATAGTTGACATCAAAAAATTGAAAGGTATAAGATAAACAATAAATGATTATTTTACAATGTAATTTAACATCCCTTAACTCTTAAATGTTCAGCAAGGATTAGATTTCCGCCTTTGATTATTGTATGTGTCTGAAATGCAATCTTGTGACTTATTGATAGGAAACCAATTTTAATAATTAATTTCTATGGGTTCTTTCGAACTAAAAATTAAGAAAATATAAATTACAATCGCAAATATACCAATTATTTTTGTTAATACGGTTTGATACTACGTTATTATATAATGGTAATGTTTTTATTTTTACATTATTTAACCTATTTTTCAATGACAACTTATTAAGCTTAGGCAACATATCATACATTTTCTTGTAAATAGTGTTGCCTGTCTATGTTTTATTATTGGTTTTTATTGATTATACTACTTTTTTTAGCTGAAGTAATAAAAATATATAACAATAATTAATTTTTTCACTTGTTTTACAAATCCATATACTTTTATTAAAATTAACATGTATATTTTTTAATTACGAATACTGTTAAAAATTGTTTTGCCAGTATACGCAAATATCATCCGTTAGTTTATAAATTAGTTAGCGCTGCTATCACGCACAGAGCGAATATTCAATGAAAATAGGCTGACTGGGCTTTGAATAATGAGCGCACATCGAAAAATAATTGTAAAAAACTAAAAAGAAATCATGTTTTCTGTTATCGATTATTTTTAGTAGAGGAAGAAGAAATTAAAAATTTGCGTTTACTTTTTTTTCGTCGACGTGTTTGAGTGAGTTTTTATGTTTCTATAAATATTTTTTTTTATTCTTCTCATATTTTTCTTCTATATCACAACTTTTGTTTGTTTTTTAAAAATATGTGTTTTAGTTTTTGTCTTTTTTTGTTGGGTTATTTTATTTATTAGAAACTTTTGTCAATTTGTATTGCTCTTTTATCTGTCATTTTCTTTGTTTTTCAACAAATAAACATTCTAAATTTTTTAAAAATTTTGCCCCTACCTATAAAATTGTGTAACGACGCCCATGGTAACGTACTGTTTGGAAATGGAATCTCGGTTTTATGGACTAACAGCAAAAGACGTAAAAAGAATGGCGTTCCAATTAGCTGAAAAAAATGGACTTCAGCACCCATTTCGCAAGCAAGATGAAGCAGCAGGATGGAAGTGGTTACGTTCATTTATGAGAAGGCATCCACGACTTAGTTTAAGAAAACCACAGGATACATCTTTAAAAAGAATTACGGGATTTAGCAAAAAGACCGTAAAAGCTTTTTTTGACCTGTATGAGCCTCTTTATAGTCTTGTTAAGAATTCCCCAAACAAATTATACAATTGCGACGAAACTGGTTTAACCATTGTACAACACAAAACTAGTAAAGTGATATCTCTACGTGGCAAACGTCAAGTTGGAGCCATTTCCTCTGCAGAGAGGGGTTCCTTAGTAACGATGGTTATATGTATGAGTGCAACAGGCCATTATATCCCGCCCCTTTTGGTATTTCCAAGAAAAAATATGAAACCAGAGCTATTGGACGGCGCTCCAAATGGAAGTTCAGCAGCGTGCCATAAATCTGGATGGATTGAAGCGGAGTTTCCAAAAATGGTTTAAGGAACAATTTTTGGCAAATGTAAAGCCTACCAAGAACGATCCAGTGGTTTTGATATTAGATGGCCATTATTCTCACACACGAAATCTGCCATTGCTAGAGTTGGCCCGAGATAATGGGGTGCATATTGTAAGTTTGCCCACCCATTGTTCCCATAAAATGCAACCTCTTGATAGGTCATTCATGGCACCTTTTAAGACGTATTATGCACAAGCTATAGAATCATGGTTTAAGCACAATTCATATAGAGCTATAACCCACTACCAAATAGGAAAACTTTTAGGTGAAGCTTATAACAAGGCAGCAACAGTTGCTACTGCAGAAAACGGTTTCAGGAAGACCGGATTATTTCCACTAAACCGCAATATTTTCCAAGCTCATGAGTTCGTTGTCCTCGAAACTGAGTCAGAAGTAGACGTTCAACAGTCAATGTCCAGCAGCGCTCCTCCATCAGTTATTCTTGATGATATTCAGCAGCCTGGACCTAGTAATATTCAGCGAGCTGTCGCTGCTATTTATAAACCAGGACCTAACCACATTTGCCAAAAAAATGTCTCGGAACAGTCAGGACCAAGCAGCCCTTATCCTTTTAGAATAATGCCAGTTCATATCAGCCCGCTTCCTTTTATAAAACCAAAAACTCACAGTGTTAAATGTAGAGGACGACCAAGCCGTCCAGCTGCAGTAATCACAAGTTCGCCATACAAGAATCAGTTGTCTCAAGACATTGCAGAAAAGGAAAGAAAAAAAGAAGTCAAAGCGAGCAAAAGTGTTAAGAGAAATATAAATCCAAAATTAAAAGCACCACCTAACAAAACAAAAGGCAAGAGAAAGAAGGTAACAGATTCGTCTTCAGAATCAAGTGAAGAAAATATTGATGAGCCGTTGACTGTCTCCACAGATGAAGAAGATAGTGATGATGATTGTGAGTGCCCCTATTGCAATCAAATTTATTTAAGTGATAAAAAAGGTGAACCGTGGATAAGATGCATTAAATGTCGCATTTGGTGCCATGAAGCATGCTCTGGTTCTGATGATTATTCAACTTTTGTTTGTGACTTTTGTTTAGAAGGATAAATTGTCAAAAATCAAAACTACTCACCGATATACATTTTTTATACTATTCTTTTAATAAATACCTTAAATAAATAATTTAGTTTTATTTATACTAAATATAAATTAAGCAAAAGCTTAACATCGCACTATGCGATATTAGGAACATAACCTGTGCGATATTAGGAACACTATTTTAAAAAATAAACAAATGGCGGATTTCCATTTTTTTTTATTTTCTTTTTATGTAAATATCGTATAGTTATGTAAGTTCCTGTGACTTTTAGGAAATTGATGAAGTTTATAGAATATTGGATACTATTATTTTTTACTAGATATTAACCTCATAAATAAACATTAATAAAATGGGTGCGATATTAGGCACAATTCCCCTAATAATAACCTTGGTTTTACATTTTTTGATGACATTATTTTGTGGTCGTAGGAAAAATATTGTACATCACTTGTGTGAAAAGTGATTTTCCACACTAGTGCGACAATATTTCCCACTCGTGTGAAAAATGTCACTTTCCACACTCGTAATGTAATATACTATTTTCGACCTCGAGTTTTTGATGGATTTTTACGTTTTGGAGGTCCGGTGAATCCGTTTTGACCATTTTCTCGATGAAGTCTGCGTGCGTGCGTATGGCATGGCATATTGAGTTTGCTGACTTTGGCGACTTCCTAGACGACATAAAACAAGAATCAAAGTGGGGCCTATGATCCAGAGGCATGGATATTAATTACAGCTTATATTTTAAAGTGTTAATAAAATACTTTTTAATGGATAATATTTTTGTGGAAATTATTTTCTATTTAATTTTTGTTCATTTTCGAGTTACTTTTGTTATTTCTAAGGTCATCTTGGATTTTTACCTAATAATTTTAAGTTTTATTTTTTAACATGTCTCTATCTTTTTTTTTAATAAATAATATTACTATTATTAACTATCTGAGAAATGTATCTAGAAGCCTTAAACTCTAATTACCTTGAAATACCATATCCAAATATTCCATCTCCATGATACCATCATACGTTATTTGATTATTATGTCTTTTCATTACTGATTGAATTTCTTCTCTAAGCCGATTTTGAATGTCAATATGAAGAGCTAGTTCCAATAAGGCAAATGATACTGTTGTAGTAGACGTCTCATATCCAGCGACATAAAATGTAATGGCTTGAGCAGCCATTTCACCGTACGACAAGTGCTTCATGGTACTTTTCGAATTAAGATTTTCATTATCTGTAGTTTCTCCAGTGTTTTTAATTTGAATTAATTGATGCATAAAATCTTTTCGATATATGTTATTCTTTTCTCTGTTCTCGACAATATCTTTGACGAGTTCTATAAAAAATAATTCTGTTTCTTTCCTGGTTAGTCTGAAATTTAGAGCAACCAGCAGCCATCGCGGGAAATTATCGGATATAAATTTTTTGACTAGAAGTTTGACCGACGGTTGAAAAATGTTTGCGAATTCTTTTCTAAAATCATTCTTAGGGTTTTTCAGGCTGTTTATGTCCAGGCCAAACGCTACAGACGCTATAATGTCGGAAGTAAACAACAACAAATATTTTTTAATGTCTACGGGATCGTTTAGAGCGGCATTTTCGTCTAATAATTTTTCTAAGCCTTTGACGCATTCTGTCATGGTTTCGAACATCATTTTAATTTTTCCTGAAACAAAAACGTCAGTTTGGTTTAACTTGTTAATAGCATACAGTTGAGTGCATGGTACAAAACTATGAAAAGAAAAAATAATTTTTACATGTTGGCTTTAAATATAAATCCGAGTGTCCCTTATCTTTTTTGCCTTTTGCCATCATACTCTTCTTTATTTTGGCTGCTTCCATTATCTGGATTATTTTACCTAGTTATTGTTAATGTTACCTACCGCACCCAGGTACCTTAATAATTTAATTATTCCATTTATTAAATATAATATTGCATTCCTATTAAATTCGAAATTTTTTATTTAACGAAATATCTCCCAGATAATTAAATCTTATTTATTACACCCAATAAATAATATCTATAACCCTGTCCTTAAGAGATTCACTTTTCGTGTACGTGTCTGGGAACCCAGCTCAAAAAACATTTGACACACTTATCTTAAGTGCGTTTAAATAGTAAAGTTGTTTTTGATACACAAAATTTTCGAGGCAAGTAATAAATCAGCCACCCCTTTCCACCCAGATTCGTATTTCGCTGGAAACCAAGACACACAGAGATGTCACAAAAGGCCATTTAAACTGCTATAAGAACCCAGACCCAAATGAGATCGGATTCATTAATTTTTTATTATTTGATGTGTATTCATTTTAATATTTACATTCAAGCAATCACTTTATTATCTGTATCCAGTTATATAGTCTGTACCTTTCCTAAAACAAGCTTCCTAAACAACGTCTATCCTAAAAGACCTCCTATTTTCGAAGGAGTCAACGTCTCGACGCACAACGTCCTGCCGTCCTACTTCCCTACCTTTCTACGCTATCACTTTTAACACCACTTTAGTATTTACTACCAATATATTCATCCCGACGCTCAAAGTCTCGACGCTCAACGTCCAGATGCTCTACTTCCCTACCTATCTACGTCTCGAACGCTGTCACATTCCGCACCAAGTATTTTCTACATTACATTTGTCCCAATGCAGTACCCTATTAAATACCACGACGCTAAGCGCCTCGACGCAAAGCTAGATGAAATTAGTACATAACCTTATGTCTGTATTTTCAATGGTGAGTCAAAAGATTTATCTAACTTTCTTTTAGATACCACTGGGGTCGTTTAGACAAGGGCCTGATATTTGCTTCAAATATTATCATTGTAACCAATAAACCATATGGCCTTCAGTTGTTCACCCCGAAAGACACTTAGGTTAGTCATCTGTTTTCAAAAGGAGAACTTAAGTTAATTCAATAGAAATTATAAAAATCAATATTAGGAAATATACAGGGTTGTATTAGGTTATTTCAATAAAAATTATAATAATCAATAATTAAAAATATACAGGGTTGTATTAAGTCATTTCAAAAGAATTATTAAAAATCAATATTTTAGAAATATACAGGGAGATGCTATCTTGGATAAATTGTACAAACCAAGATTGTAAAATTTAACAGTAAGTTAACCAACTGGTGAATACACTGTTCGTTAGCTCAAGGGGGGACACCTATATACTAAGCCACCCATTCTACAAGATTTGAAACAAAGTGAAATCAACATAGTAGGATAACCAACTGGCGAATTGGCGCTGTTCGTTATTTCCGTAGGTCATCACCTCTATACTCGACGAAATATTTACCTAAGGAGGGTACAACCTATGTATATCTAGAATAGAATCAAATCAACACAGTAGTTAACCAACTGGCGGAATTGGCGCTGTTCGTTAACTCCGTTGGTCATCAACCTAAATAAGATTAAAAACATCAACACAATAGTTAAACAACTGGCGAAATGACGCTGTCTGTTACCTTCGTTGGTCATCAACCTAAATAAAATATATCTTGATAGCAAATAAACGTAGTCTGCGTTTGAACGGGACTCCATTTTCCATTTAAAAATTCTTTATTCATATTTACAAATATAAACAATACTTAATTAATGTACAGAATATTAGTAGATTTGCTTCCTGACGAATCCTCTAGAAGCTCCAATTCTACAATGATCCACCTAGTGAATCATGGCCGATTTCCTAGCCGCATTTTTGTACATAATTAATTATTATGAGTGGAAGTACTATCTTCTTGCTTTATAAGCACTATATAGCAATTAAGGTTAGCTTGCAAGATCAGTAATTGAGTAATGTCTATAGTTTTGTGTGAGTTTAATTGTGATTTGTCGTCCCTGTAAAACTAGTTGCAAAAAACAGGGTTGTCCTTATGTGAATGTGCGTCATGTGTTCGTCTGTCGAGTGTGTAGCTCAAATCACAGGACTACACGGATTCCCCAACTTCCAGTGCTGGGAACAGGGCAAGCCCCGATCTCAATTCTGACTGATTACGTCACCGTGCAGTCCTCCGTCCGACCAGAGTTGTCAACTAGTGGTCGGTGTGACTTGGCTATTTAGTAAAATGCTCGCTGCTGTGGGTAAGTTAAGAGCAGCGTTAATTCCACGTCTTGTCTGTATATTTGTAGGTTTTGATGCAGGCACCCATGTTTCCTGACTACCCCATCCCCCTCGTGTATTCGTAGGATGTCTTCCTTAACCGTATAGGGAAGATAATGTCTATAAAACTTTTCTGACATTCTGAGTATATGTTCCTTAATGGGTTCCATGGATGCCTGTTCATGTAAGTCTGTAATTCGAGTGTAGCGATCGCACCCCAGCGCCAGCCGAAGACACTTGTTTTAAGATGTCTGAAGTTTTGAGAAATGTGAGTTAGCCATGGAGCAAAAGACTGGACCTCCATATGTGAGAATTGGTTATAACCCAACTATATGGCCCAAGGAAGCTGCTGTAAGAAGATTTAACTTCAGAAAACATTTTCAGCCTCTTCAAAAAAACGGAAGAAGAGAATTAAATATGAAATACGATTTCAATATTTTAAAAGATTTTAGTATTTAAAAAAATGTAAATCAGCAGAGTATGGTGAGTATGTTTCATGTAAACTTACAATCCATCTCTAATAAGGTAGAAATGATTAACAGTTTTCTTGTGGATCACAATTTTGACGTTGTCTGCTTTTCTGAACATTGGCAGAGTGAAATATGTTTTAAAAACATTAATATTGACGGTTACAATTTGGCAAACTCTTTTTGTAGAACAAATATGATACATGGGGTGTAGCAATTTACATTAAAAATAATAAAGATTTTTTTGAAATATTTCCCAATTGACTTAAGCGAATATATTTGTGAACAAAATGCAGAATTTTCTGCTGTAGATTTTCCATCTTTAAAAACTACAATTTCAACTGTCTATAGGTCTGGCAAAGGTACTACTGATATTTTTCTTGTGAATTTTGAATTTGTATTACACAAATTACTAGAAAAGTATGACAAATTAATAATATTAGGCGATTTTAATATTATTTTTAAATCACAATCTGAAATTCTTTTCAATTTTGAATGTTTGTTGAAGTCTTTTGGTTTATCTCTTACAATACATGATGATACTAGAGTTACAGCCTCATCTTCATCTTCAAATTGTATAGACAACATAATTACAAATTTGACAAACGAATTGTTTACTTCCGGTGTATTTGAACCCTCCTTTTCAGACCACCGTTCCCAAAACATTTCTCTGAGTTACAATAATAGTCTAACAAAAAATAAAAATCAAACATGTCTTAAAAGGTGTATTACAGATAATAGAATAAAGATGTTTAAACAGTCTTTAAGTAGTATAGATTGGAGTATTTTTTTGTAATAAAGGTAATGATGTAATTTTTTGTCAACTTTTCTTATCAATACTTACCATAACTTAAGTATGAAATATTTTTCCTTGAGGCAATGTTAGAATAATTTAAGAAATTCACCAGTAATATGGTTTAACAATAGTCTAAAATCTCTAAGAAACGATCTCTCAACCATCAAACTAATAACAGACGTTACAAAAGATCCAAATGACATAAAAACATACAAGAAACTCAAAAGCGAGTACAATGAAAAACTGAAATCAACAAAAAAACTGGCCTATGATGAATATATTACTCGAGCAGACAATAAAGCCAAGCCATGTTGGCAAATAATCAATTTCAAAAGAAACAATTTAAAAAGAAATCTAGTAACTCCTGATTTAACACCAAATGAAATAAATACATTTTTTAATACAACTGCTGCAAATATCAAAAGATCTCTTCCTAATGTTTCGAATGCCGAACTTTTGAGTTTTAAACATTTTCCTATGCCATGTAGCTCATTTTTCTTCCGCTCTGTTATTGAGTCTGAAGTTTTTGACGCAATTACTTCTCTAAAAAATCCTAAATGTGTTGACACTCACGAACTCAATAGTAAAATTTTAAAAGAGACTTGCAATATTATAATAAAACCGTTTACTGAACTGATTAATTTAATTTTATCCACTGGTATATTTCCTGAAGTACTTAAATACTCTAAGGTAATTTTCAAAAAAGGTGATGTCTCGAAAATTGATAACTATCGTCCCATAAGTATTGTTTCAATATTTGGTAAAGTTAATGAAAAAATTATTAAAAAACAATTATGTGAGTTTTTGAATTAAAAAACTTCTTCAGCAACTCCCAATATGGTTTTAGACGCTCTCGCTCTACTACACAGGCTGTTCTCAATGTTGTGAATGATGCAGTTGAGGAACTTGAGCAGGGAAATCACACATCAGTAATGTTGTGCGATCTGTCAAAGGCTTTCGACTACGTCTCTCATGATATTTTTCTGGAAAAGCTAAGCTTTTATGGAGTTAGGGGAATTCCGCTTGCACTAATAAATTCATATATTAGTAACAGACAACAAGCTGTGATGAATAATGGTGTTCTGTCTGACTTTCAGGCTGTAAGGCAAGAGGTTCCACAAGGTTCTGTCCTGGCCCTTTTATTCATTGTTTATGTTAACGATCTAAGCCGTTTTATGCTACCTAATAAATCAGTTTTATTTGCTGATGATACAACACTCATCTTAACAGATAAAAAAAATAAAAATTTAATTTCTTCGTTTGATGAAATTGCGGACAAAGCAAACACATGGTTCTCAACCAACAAATTAAAACTTAACAGTGAAAAAATATGCAGATATCTGCCAATAATCAAATTATCTCAAAATGTGACACAAAAAACGTAAAATTACTTGGTATTACATTGGATAACAAACTCAATTGGTCGGCCCACATTAATCAGTTGAAGAAAAAACTTTCTAGTTTTTTGTTTATTCTTGGGCAGTTGAAAAAACTTACCAACTTAAATACCCTCAAAACTACGTATTTATCTCTCTTTCACTCGCATGTCAGCTATGGTGTACCACTTTGAGGAAACTTTTTTCAATTTATTCAAATCTTCCGGATGCAAAAATAAGCTATCAGAATTATAGCTAACATTGGATTCAGAGAACATTGTCAACAACATTTTATTAAATTTAAAATTATGCCACTACCTACTTTATATCTACATCATACACTTGTTGAAATTCATAGAAAACAGTCTTTTTTGCTGAAACAGTCCGATATTCATAATTACAAGACACGTAATTCACATTGTATTAGAAATACTCGTTTTAGGTTATGTCTAATTTAAATAAATTTCCTAAATTATAACTTATTTAACATATTACCGCAGAACTTTAAAAATTTAAGTAATAATGCTTTTAAAAAAATATCTATTGAGACATTGTTTTTACTCTGTCAATGATTATGTAGCTCATTTTCGGTCTGTATGAGACATCTCACTGTCACTCTGCCTCATCACAATTTTAACCTTGATAAGTACTTAATAATTATTGTTTTTATTTACATTGTTCAAATTCTGGTACTCTAATAATTATTGTTTCATTTGTTTTATTTATATTGTTCAAATTCTGTTACCACCTATGACTTGCTATAAACATAATGACTTATGTAAAATAGTTAATAAAATTATTCTATTCCATTCTATTCTATTCATTGTTATGAATAAAAGATATGTATTTCTTAAATGAGTGGGTTTGATCGTAAGTGGCTTGAACAGGGACGATTTAGGAAATAGTATGTTTAAATTTAAGCATATGATATAAAAAAAATCACGAATAAGAAATTAATTAATATAATCTTACCTGTTGTAAATGTTGGTGTCAGCTTTGATCTGATATCCTTCCATTTTCCGTCTTTCAAGTTAAATAAATTTCCAGTTATAGCGTCGGCATCTTCGTTAATATAACCTACGTGGTTAACAAAATGTGAAAAATCCTTCTGTAGAACGTTTTTGATCAGTTTCTGATCGGTAAGGATAAGTACAGGTGATAAGAAATCATAGACGCCACCAAATTTTTCTCCTCTCGATTTGAAGTAATGGTAAAAACTTCGATATACTTTGTTTCTGTGTTCTTTGCGTTTAGTTATAGCTGTTGTATTTCCGAAAAAGAAATCTGGTTCTATATAGTTAACACCTCTACGACTCCAGTAGGACTGTTTCCATTTGATATAAAAGAAAATTATTCCCACCACTGAGAGGAAAATGTAGATAATGGTAATAGAAACCATTATTAACCAAGTACCATTTAATTAAATTATTAATATTATACTGTATATATATTTAAAAACTAATCTCATCAGAGGCAAAACCAAAAGTGATTTTAATTAAATAAGAATGCAGATACCAATATTACTTTTAATAAACAATATCATTATCTATATTTATATTAGGTTAGAAATAGTTTTTACTAGATTAAGTTTTTCCCATTTTTCTGTTTGAAGTACTGAATGCATTACATTATATCTTTGTGATAAATTTTATCATTTTATTATTGTAAATAACTGACGCAATGAAAATTGTTGCATTGTTAGACTTTATTTGACTTTAAATAAGTGTTTTTTATTACACTTATAGAATTAACTGCATCTACTTTAACAACATTGCCATCTGAATATTATCTTAAATAAATATGTGAAATAATAGTTAATAATTTATACATGCTATAAAGAGATAAATATTGTGCCTTGATTTTTACACATTATGGTTGCTTCCAAACAACTCTTTGTTAACTTTGTGTCATGTTCACACTTATTTTTTTACTTAATTTTGTAGTTACTACTATTCTTTATACATCTGCTTTTTAAGAATGCCAAAGAAGGCAGCAAAGCACCTCGAGAATTTTGAGTTGAAACATATGCCAGATTTTTAGGCTATTTTAAGGCTATTTTTATACCCTATTCAAAAATTTTATGCTCCTCGTTTTTTTGCAAAAATCAAGGTGCTCTGCTAGCTTCGAACGAAGTCAGCAGAGCACCTCAGTTTTTTAAAGCTTTTTTCCAAAATCAACGACACCATATTTTTAGGGTATTTTTAGGCTCTTGAAGTATTATAAAACTTTTCGAAAAATTTTGTTATTTTTAAAAAATACAGGGTGCTTTGCTAGCTTCGAAGGAATCTAGCAGAGCACCTCGGTTTTTTAAAGCTTTCTTCTAAAAACAACTACACCACATTTTTAGGCTATTTTTAGGCTCTTGAAATATTATAAAACTTTACTAACAAATTGCTATTTTTAAATAATACAGGGTGCTTTATTGGAGCAAAGTCAGCAGAGCACCTCGGTTTATTATTATTATTTTTGTAAGAAAACTGGTTATGCTACATTTTAAAGCTATTTTTAGGCTCTTAGAACAATATATAACTTTTCAAAAAAAAATGTATTTTTGTATTGTTTAAAGAATACAGGGTGCTTTGCTAGCTTCGAACGAATCCAGCAGAGCACCTCGGGTTTTTAAAGTTTACTCACGTGAGATATGAATATGATTGAAGACTCTGCGTATGAGTAAGTCGAGGAGTAGGTATTATGATATGACTGATATTTAGATTTGATTTAAACATTTACTTTGCAATTTTAATATAATCAACAGGTATGGAATTTTTAACACGGCCACTACCTTGTAATTGGTATTTACACCAATTTTGAATTAATCAATCCCAGCTAACACAACTTATTTGTATATTGTTCATTATTGATTTCGATTATTTTTTCCTCATTGATATAATTAATCGTAGAAATTAAAATGTTTGTTAATTAAGGGTTTTTTGCAATGAGCCTATCCTAATCTTAATAAGTATTTAATACAAATTTTCTTTTAATTTGACTTACAAAGTAATATTTTTGTAATTGCAGCGAGTGTCCAAATGATCTATCTATTTTGAGTTTTCAATGTTCAACTTTATGTAAGTTGAATATTATGTAACTGGTTATGTCATAAATATATTCATGATTGCGAAAAGAAAATAAATAAAAGAAACCTTTCTTTTAATAATTTATATTATTTCAAGAGCCTAAAAATAGCCTAAAAATGTGGTGCAGCTGTTTTTAGAAAAAAGCTTTAAAAAACCGAGGTGCTCTGCTGGATTCGTTCGAAACTAGCAAAGCACTCTGTATTCTTTAAAACAATACATTTTTTTTGAAAAGTTATATATTGTTTTAAGGGCCTAAAAATAGCTTAAAAACGTAGCATAACTAGTTTTCTGAAGAAAATAATAATAAAACGAGGTGCTCTGCTGACTTTGCTCCAACAAAGCACCTTCTATTATTTAAAAATAGCAATTTTTAGTAAAGTTTATAATATTTCAAGAGCCTAAAAATAGCCTAAAAATGTGGTGTAGTTGTTTTTAGAAAAAAGCTTTAAAAAACCGAGGTGCTCTGCTGTATTCGTTCGAAGCTAGCAAAGCACCCTGTATTTTTTAAAAATAACAACATTTTTCGAAAAGTTTTATAATATTTTAAGAGCCTAAAATTAGCCAAAAAATATGGTATCGTAGGTTTTGTAAAAAAGCTTTAAAAAACTGAGGTGCTCTGCTGACTTCGTTCGAAGCTAGCAGAGCACCTTGATTTTTGCAAAAAACGAAGAGCATAAAATTTTTGAATAGGGTATAAAAATAGCCTTAAAATAGCCTAAAAATGTGGCATATGTTTCAACCCAAAATTACCGAGGTGCTTTGCTGCCTTCTTTGGCATTTTTTAAGATTCTCAAATCGCTCCATAAAAGAAATATGAAATATAAACTATATAATAATAATAAGCTTTATTGTCTAACAGAATTACATCCATTAATAAGACAATTCAGATAAGAATAGTAAGAAAATATACAAAGTAATTAAAAAAAATATTAGTTTACAAATAAATGAACATTTGATAGGATACAGCCCGCCAAGTTTATTATTGATTAAATAAGATATTTTTCACTGACTTACTAAAACTACATAAAGTTTGATTGAATATATCAATATGTGGACTAATTTTGTTTAGTTCCCTGCACATGATATGTAAAGGCGATTTTAGCATGATATTAGTACTTACTGAGGGTAGGTAGAACAGATTTTTGGATCTGGTATTTAAGGGAACATAAAAATTTAGTTGGTATAATAAATCAGAACAATCAATCATACCATTAACCAACTTGTACAAAACAATTAGAGATATATAAACTCGTCTATCCTTGCAAGTTGGCAAGTTGAACCTTTGAAGTAACCGAGTGTGATCGAATCCACGGGTAGGATACACTCCATCCATTTTAAAAGCCATATATTTGACAAATTTACGCTGAACTTTTTCTAAATGTTGAATATGAGCCTCATAATAAGGATTCCAGATTAGGCATCCATACTCTAATTTGCTTCTTATGTAATGGAAGTATAGTAGTTTAGTTGTAGAAGCATTTTTAAACTTATTGCAGGAGCGATATATGAATCCCAATAGTTTTGTGGCAGAAGCAGAAATGGCTGCAATATGTGAGTTGAATGACATTTTGCCAAATTGATGATAAAAAATACAATAGTCTTTATATTAGGTGATACATAATAAAAGAACCATTGAAACAAGAGAAGAAGAAATTAGAAATTTAGAAATTAGAAATTATTTATTTAAAGAAATAATTAATACACACATATTTAGTCATGCATACTCGATAAAGACTTGGTCTTTGTATGAGTTAAATAACAAACAGGTAATTATTAAAAAATACAATAAATATATATATATATATATATATATATATATATTTTTAAGTGAAGATAATATCAGGTTGGCGGTCCTAAAAAATAAAACTCTTTTCCTTACTTGCTCAATATTTCGCCATTGTTTAATAACTTCATCAGGAGCGAAAGGATTTGAGTCAATCAAATAAAATTTTAAATAAAAACAACATTACACTTAAACAAACTTTCGGACAGTGTCCACTGTGTCCACTGTCCATTTGATTTTATCGGTTATTTTAATTTTTCTCCGTTTTTTGCAGTTTGACCCTCAATTTTGACTTCAGATTCGTGTTCAGCAGTAAAAAATACGTCGGAAAATCTTTGTCGAACACCCAGCACAGACCACTTTTTTTTTTGTGGACCTGTGTAATTGACTAATTAAAAAGTCGAATAACGGGTAAATGAATTTTCAAAAAAAAAACAGAATTATTTCCTTTAAAATCGATTATTTGATCATCTTTGAAACATCGAAAATAATCGCTTAATCGAAAATAATCGATTAAGAATAAATAACCAAGAAGTCGATTCTACGATAAATCGATTTTCCAAAAAAATAACTGAGTTATCGATTATTTTCAAATAATCCTTGTTTTCATATTTCCTTCAAAATTAATTACCTATTTGATTATCTTTGAAAAATCAAAAATAATCGATATATAGAAAATAATCCATTAATAAAAAGCTGACTGACCAATAAATCGATAATTCAAAAAAATAACCGAAATATCTATAATATAAAATAACCGATTATATTCGATCAATCGATTATTTTCATATAATCTATGTTTTCGTATTTCTTTTAAAATAAATTATGCGAATACCTTTGAAAAATCGAAAATAATCGATTAATAAAAAGCTGATTAACCGATAAATCGATCATTCTTAAAAATAACCGAAATATCGATTATATAAAATAACCGATTATATTCGATCAATAGATTATTTTCATATAATCTATTTTTTCGTATTTTAAAACAAATTATTCGAATACCGTTGAAAAATCGAAAATAATCGATTAATCGAAAATATTCGGTCAATCGAAAATAATTTGAAAAACCGATTAAACAATAAATCAAATATTTTGAATAAATTTACTTTCTTTTTGTAATTCCTTTATAATCGATTATACCATTACCTTAAAAAAAATCTAAAATAATTTATTGAAAATGTTCGATTTATCGAAAATAATCGATTAATTATAACCGATAAATTGATTTTCGTGAAACAAAAATAAACGATAAATCGATTATTTTTGTATCCCCTAACGGTCGCTTGCTTTTATCGGAGCATTTAGCTCCATTTAGAGATTAGTATTTTTTGATCCTGTTATCTTTGAAACCACATTTGATTAATAATATGACTAACTTCCGTAACTTCAGTATTTTTTTTTTTCTTATACTAGATCATATTGCGCGTTTTACTTTGTTTTAAGACATAAGATTCAAATGTTACATCCGATAAAATTTCGCTAGTAGCTATGCTTCTTTGTTTCTTATTTATTTACCAAAAAGGGCTAAAAACCACCTTTAGTAAATATTCTTATAATACTACTTTTTAAAAACAAAATTTCGTTAGTAATGTTATGTGAGCCATTTCATTATTCAGTCATGCTCCAACCCTA